TCAACAAGTGACTTAGCAACCCAAAATTTCTTAGGCCTATTCTTGTTTGGGGGTCCTAAGAATATGACTTTTATCTTTCCACTAGAATCCTTTCTAAGTATGTAGTGAGCATTGAAGGCGAAAGGTCTAGCATGCTTGGCAATGGTTGTGGTGGTGGAGTTTGACACTCATGAGCAAAGTGGTCTTCTTGTCCACACTCAAAACACTTATTTGGCTTTGGCTTTTATTGTTGCTGAGCTTGAGCCTTCTTCTCTTTGTTTGCCATGTACCCAATGCCACTTCTATCCATCTTTATGACGGTGTTCATTAGTAGCTCACTTTGAAGATACTTGCCTTTAGTGAACTTGCTCAATCCAATCTTGAGATGCTCTTTCTCCAACTTGAGCTTCTTGTTTTCTTCCTTAAGAGCATCATTGTTTTTCTCTTCCTTGAGCTTCTTGTTTTCTTCTTTGAGCTTCTCATTCTCAAGCATCAACTCACCATCATGATCAAGAGTTTCTAGCACAATAGTGTTGTGGCTTTTGTTCTCTTCAAGATCTTTCTTGAGCTTTTCATTATCATTCTTGAGCTTGACAAACTCATCATAATCATCGGCCTCAACCACTTGCTTGCCCTTGCTACTAGAACTTTGCTCAACGCTCTCAATGATCAAATCATCACATGATGTAGCTATATCAATCTTAACAACATTGTTAGTAGCACCATGTGGTTCATTGGATAAATATTCTCGAGCAATAACAAGATTATCATGATTAATCTTAAGAGTAGTATATTCATCTTTTAGCATATTATGGCTAGTGATGAGCTCTTTGTGCATCCTCTCAAGTTTATCATGTTTATCTTTAAGCTTTTTCTTAGAAGATTTGAGCTCCTTGAGTTTGGATGGCATAGCTTCATTTGCTTCTCTAAGCTCAACACTAGGTTTTTCGGCTATATCACATTTAGCTAAAAGAGAATTATTTTTAGCTTCTAGTTTGTCATTCTTAGCTCTAGTCTTTATAACGATCTTAGAGTATTTATTTAGCAATTTAACAAGATCATCATAAGAAGGTGATTAATATTCATCATCATCACTATCGCTATCACCATTACTAGCATGTTCATCACCACTACTCTCATCATCAATTGATACCTTGCATTCACCCTTGGCCATAAGGCATAGGTGTGTAGAGAATGATGGTGGCGGTGAAGATGATGAAGAGTCAATAACAATGGCGACCACCTTCTCGTTGTCAGTATCATCATCGGATGAGCCACTAGATGAATCAATGTCCGTGAGCTAATCACCGACGATGTGTGCCTTTCCACTCTTCTTCTTCTTGTGGAAGTCCTTCTTCTTGCCATCTCTCTTCTTGTATGGCTTGTCTTTCTTCTTCTTATCTTCATCACTTGAGCCATCTTTCTTGCCCTTGTTCTTGTTCTTGAACTTGTCTTTCTTAGGCTTTGTGCATTGATGAGCTAGATGACCAAGTTCTCTACAATTGTAGCAATCCATCTCGGATATTGGCTTCCTTTTAGAGCTAGTGAAGAACTTCTTCTTGCCATCGAACTTGATGCCACTCTTGTTGAACTTCTTTAGCATCTTAACGGTTTTTCTCACCATGAGAGCAAGACTTGCATCATCAACTTCATCATCACTTGAGCTCTCATACTCAAGTCTTGCTTTACCCTTCTCTTGCCTAGCTTTGAATGCTAAGTCCTTGTCTTTCTTCTTGGTAGAGGATGAGCCATCTTGTGGTGTGATGTGCATGTACATCTCATGAGCATTAATCTTTCCCAAGATTTATGTCGGTGTAGCGGTGGAAAGATCACCTTGATGAAGCACGGTCATAATATGCCCATATTTGTCAATGGGGAGGACACTCAAGATCTTTTTTACAACATCGGATGGTTCCATTTGAGTAAGTCCAAGCCCATTTACTTCCTCTACAAGAACATTCAAATGTGAATATATTTCATTAGCACATTCTTTAGGAAGCATTTCAAAAGAGTTAAGCTTTTTCATGACAAGATGATAGTGTTCCTCACGCTCACTCTTTGTTCCCTCATGGAGCGCACAAACGTCCGACCATAGTGAATGGGCGTCTTTGTGGTTCCTCACCCGGTTGAACACATCTTTGCAAAGGCCTCTAAAGATGGTGTTTCTAGCCTTTGCATTCTATTTTTCGTAATTCAACTCATCACCTTGTGGGTGTGTGGCATCCCGAGGTTTTGGGAAATCTTGTGAGGCGGCTCTAAGTATTCCAACATCTAAAGCTTCTAGATACGCCTCCATGCGGATTTTCCAATATGGAAAATCATCCTCCTCAAAGATAGGAGGAGGTCCATCTCCGTGAGGCATCTTTCACTAGGCGGTTAAGCCTAAATACGTGAGCATGAGGCTCTGATACCAATTGATAGGATCAAGATGTCCAAGAGGGGGGGTGAATTGGGCTAATTCTAAATTTTTTTGTAATAATTAAACTCTACGGTTAGCCCAATTAACCCCTTATGCCAAGAAAGTGTTTCTATTGATCTAACGCATAAAAGTTTAGTACCCTTAGTTCCAATCCCCCTTAATCTGCTCAAGGATCAAGTGCTCTCTATGTGTTGATTCTTCGACACTCCGTCGCGATGAATCACCCATAACCGCTCACAACTTGAGTTGGGTCATCCACAAGCTCTCCGGATGATCACCAAGCTCTCAATCACCACCAAGCCGTCTAGGTGATGGCGATCACCAAGAGTAACAAGCACGGACTCTCACTTGACCACGACAAGCCTAATAAGAAGGGTGGATGCACACTTTGCTACTCTTGATCTCACTAATGAGGGCTCTCTTTGGGATTCTCAAATCTCAATCACCTCATTAGGACCTTACTCTTGTTGGCACTCTCTAAGGTGTTTCTCAACTGTTGAAATGAGCAAAAGTACCCCCACACACGAGTGGAGGTGGTATTTATAACACCGGCTGAAAAATAAACCGTTATGTGCCTCTGTGGGGTGACTGGACGCTCTGGTCAGTTCACCCCGAACTCCAGTGTTTAAAGTGTAACCGGACGCTGGCCAGCGTCCGGTCAGCACTGACCGGACGCGTCCGGTCGTGATTTTCTCTCTCTGAAACCTTACTTGAGTCGACCGGACGCTAGCCCTCAGCGTCCAGTCACTTCACCTCTCAGCGTCCGGTCGCACCAGACTAAAACACCTTGGTCAAATGAACTGACCGGACTCTAAGCCAGCGTTCGGTCACACCGAAGCGTCCGGTCAGTATTTGACCCTCCATTCACTTTCAACTCTCGATCATACGTGAATGAAGTTTTCTCCATTGGATCTAAGAGCTATTTTGGAGCTACCTAGTGCTAGTTTTAACAAGTGTGCACCACACCTAATCCTAAACTACTCTAAGTGTCTCTTCAACTCCAATCGACACTTAGAACTAGTCCATCCTTAACCTTGTCGTCCATCCTTTGAAAACCGAAACGATTTCCATCGTAGGTGCATGACCACCATGATTGCCCAATCGATCTCCATTACCATGACCTAACTTAATTGCCTCTGCAAAACACATGTTAGTCATAGTAATCATGTATTGTCATTAATCACCGAAACCCAACTAGGGACCTAGATGCTTTCAGATATATATAATCATATATATATATATATATATATATATATATATTCATACTTTTTCTTTCATTCGAATTGAAGATTGAATGGAGGAAGCGAAAGGTTATGCGATGTGACCAGATCAAAGCAATTCAAGAGGTATTGACAGGATTTCTTGTGAATGAGGTCAAAGATCCCAAAGGCGCGTACCACTATGACCCTAAAGAATTAATACCTAGTAGCCATACGACTAAAGATAATTAGGGTTGAATGAAATCCCAAGGACATGATCAGTACAAGGGTTTTGTGACTTTATTTTGTACATATTCCATGCATGGACAACCTCTTGAAATATTTGTATATATGTAGTTTTATATATTTTAGTGTGTTATTTATGTATAATGCTCGAACAGAACCTTATACGTGGACGCATATTAGCAGCATAGAATTCGTATACGAAAAGCTAATCGAAACAAAAAAAATTAAATTGAAAAGAAACCATAAAAATGAAAAGGAATGAAGTAGAAAAAAAGAATATTTAGTACCGGTTGGGAACACCAACCGAGACTACAGGTGTCAGCCCTGGTGTAATGCCTGGAGGCCATTTAGTCCCAATTGATATTACCAACCGGAACTAAAGATCAACTTTCAATCTCGGTTGCCAGAACCGGGACTAAAGGGGAGGGGTTGCCAGAACCAGGACTAAAGGAGAGAGCTTAAGTCCCGAATTCGTAATCCCGGTTGAAAAACCGGGACCAAAAGGGTTTCCCAACCGGAACTGCTACTTATCCTGCACTAGTGATTAAACTAGAAGACAATTTTAAAATGCAAAATATGCACTGACACAACCTGTGAGCTAAAAAGCGCGTACGATTTGACCAATTACTGGTTCAACTAATCATCATACATTAAATGGTTTAAAAAAATCATCATACACCAATAACCAGCGCTGCTTATTTGACAAATAAAAGAGAAAAAAATAGTTAACACAGCCCCTAATTAATAAACTATCTCCCATTGTATATATACATATTTGTTGTCGTCGGCAGAAATAATGGAATGGCATGTATTCATCCAACGAGGGCCTACAAATAAAACCAAGAACCGGGCCGGGCCCCGCATTAGCTGAGCCCAAAAGTAGCGTGCGTGTGGATATAAATCGTCGCATATACCCTCGTCCTCTCTATAGGTGCAGTGTAGACGAGCACGTACATATCGTACGTGGCGTAGGAAGAGGTGGCACTGGCACTGGCACTGGCACGGCAGCTTCCGTCACCTCCGCGCCGCGCTCCTAGCTAACCACCTCCCCTTGTTTCATGGTGGAAGTGGAACAATAACAACCCGCCGCCGCCTCCGCGCCTGCGAATTGAACTGAGATACGAGGGAGGGAGTACCTGCTGGCAGCTAGCGGCGGCATGGATGCGGCGGTGGCGGCGGCGGCGGAGGCGAGGGAGCGGCTGCGGGCGAGCTTCGCGTCGGGGAGGACGCGGCCGGCGGCGTGGCGGGAGGCGCAGCTGCGCGGCCTGCTGCGGATGGCGGCGGAGATGGAGGACGACATCTGTGCCGCGCTCCGCGCCGACCTCGCCAAGCCCCAAACCGAATCCTACGTCCACGAGGTATATACTGATCTATCTTTCATCAGTTGTGTATGATCTGTTGTGCGCAGATTATATTTATTATTATTATACTCAGTATATAAGGAGTGTACTGAACTTATATAGCTATATTAGTATAAATTGAAGAATTACTAATAACTCGTTTATGACACTTATTTGCGATGTCTTTATTAGATATCGCTGGTCACCACCTCCTGCAAGTTTGCTCTCAAGAATCTCAAGAAATGGATGAAGCCCCAAAAGGTACTGTACTATCTATCTGTTGTAGTATCGATGTCTAGGCATGGAACGAACAGACCTCTCATCGGCCACATAGTTGTTGAAGAAAAGTCATGCATGCAGCCCAGACCGACATGGGCAGCTCTATCAGGCATACTTTTATTTGATCCTGTTTTTGCTTAATTACAAGTATAAAAGCATCACTACAACACATGCATGTAAGTGATAATTACTCCCTTCATCCCAAAACATAAGAGACACGCTTTTCACTTGATATGGTCTTTTAAGATTAAACATTTTGACCGCTAATTTCTCCTACTCTCTATATACATGCATGGCTACTAAAGTTTGATCATTACAAGATATTTCTAAATACGAATTCACTTTTGCAGCACGAGCTTTCAATATGACTAGATTAATTATTGTTGGTCAAAATTGAATCTTCAAATACTTTGGGATATATAGAGGGAGTATTTTTGTAACTGAGAACTCTCTATATATGTTGTTACGGTGGACAGGCCCTAATTCACCCTGGGCATTCGGTTAACCGAAACCGTTCAGTTCGGTTCCTCGGTTCTTTATAAAATTCAGTTAGCATAAAAATAGAACCGATCGGTTAGCTAGAAAACTTAGAACCGAGAAAATTCGGTCTCGGTTAGTTTGGTTCGGTTTCGGTTAGAACCGAACTAACCGAGTCATACATTACATCAGCGAAACAGAAGGGAAGAAAAGGAGAAAAATGAAAATTGAGCCATACATTACGTCAGCCATACAGTTCGGTTCTTTTGCTATTGAGCCAATATGTACATATTCGGTTCTGTTCGGTTAACCTAGGTCTGGAACCGAATTACCCGATATTATTTCGGTTCCTGAGAACTGGGAAACGAACTAGGAACAAAAATTTTTCGGTTTTGGTTCCGATTATTTCGGTTCGATTCTCGGTTATTTTTGCCCAGGGTTAGCCCTAATACGTGATCACTCACGTCATAACTCACAAAAAAATGTACAGTACTGTACACATTTTGGATAACTATGCAGTTTCGAGAAGTCGTCGTTAGTTGGTCATTAATTAATTTCGTTTGTTGAACATACTACAGTCAGTCAGTTAGTTGGTTACGGCATGTTGACATCTAATAAATTAAGCATCATAAATACAAGTGCACTTAGCTTCAAGACGATGCACCTGTGCAGCAACGCTCATCACAGTGTCTAGCAACAAATTAATGGATTCAAACCCTAGTACGTGTTCCATAGCAGATGCCACGCACAATTGTAGAGTGTCAATCAATCCTTCCTTGATCCAACAATTACAAATGCTTGACAAGAGGGGCACTGTTGTCAAACCCAATCAGCCTATTCGTTTGTTGGTTTCAACCAGAACTTATTAGCCAGTCAACCGTGTTTTCCTCTCACAACAAACCAACACCAACCGGGCTTATCAACCTAGAAATCAACCAGCGAACAGGCTCAATCAACCCGTTCGGCTGGGGGCGACTGGCTGGCTGGCTGGCCAGCCCTCTCACATGAACACTGTTCATATAAACCAGTCAGTAATACTTCTCTCTCACATAAACGAACCAGCAACAATAACCGAACATGCTTAATAGCTAAAATGTTCCATGAAAAGAAGATCTTGAGCTTACGACATGGCCCACCTGCACCAGCCATGAATTGGAGCGTCGTCCTGTTCTAGCATAGCCGCGTCATCAGCTTTTTGCGTCCTTGTTCATTCACACCGCCCGGCACGTACTACTGCACGGTGCGCGCCACCCAAAATCGTTGTCCCGTCTCCCAAACCAACTGCACTGCAGGCGGAAATCAATGTCAATCCATGCGCAATGGAGTATCCTGTAATAATAAATCGTAACGACACGGTTGTTTGTTTTGCAGGTCCCCAGCCGGCTGCTGACGTTCCCGTCGACGGCGCGGGTCGCGGCGGAGCCCCTCGGCGTGGTGCTCGTCGTCTCCGCCTGGAACTACCCCTTTTGTACGTAACCGAGCGCAAGCAAGTGCATTATTCATCGTCGTGCTTTTAGTTCCCACTCGGTGGTTTAAATTAATCAATGCGCATGCCTTTGACTGAAAACACATTACTCATAAAATACACTACTAGTACTAGCCTGCTGTAGGAAAGAGATGGACAGGTCGACCGATCGAGCACCACGTAGTACCCACACATGTCTGAAACGCAACACATCATCCGGTGACCTGCTGTCGTCGTCGGCGCACGTTTTGCACCAGTGGAAGCCATGGCTATGGCCCATGTCGCTTCTTTAATGAACTTCTAGATCACTTCAGCTGAGGGCCTGTTTAGATGGCGAAAATTTTTGCAAAATGCACTGTAGCACTTTTTGTTGTTATTTGACAATTAGTGTCTAATTATAGTCTAATTAGGCTTAAAAGATTCGTCTCGTGAATTTCGTCTAAACTGTATAATTAGTTTTATTTTTTATTTATATTTAATACTTTATACATGCGTCAAAGATTTGATGTGACGAAGATTCTGAAAAATTTGACAAAATTTTCTGGAACGACCTGAGCTGAGCTGAGCCTGCTGGAATCGATCGAGTGCTAGCTTGACGTGATCGATCGATTGAGAGCGAGAGGGGATGCGACAAGGATAGATGGATGCCAACGCGTCATCAGCTCATGCGTTGGGCATGACCATCACAAAAGGGATTCGTATCGTCCACCACTTGGGCCTTGTTTACATTGCAATTTTTTTGCAATCTCGACAGTGTAGCATGTTTCGTTTGTATTTAACAAATTTTATCTGATTATGGATTAACTAGGCTCAAAAGATTTGTCTCGTGATTTACAACTAAATTGTACAGTTAGTTACTTTTTTTACTTACATTTAATGCTCCATGTATATATCCAAAAATTAATGTGATGGAGAAAATAAAAACACTTAGAATTTTGAGGCAATCTAAACAAGAGCTGGGCTGGGCTGTTTTGGCCTTAAATGCCACGCTACCTAGCTAGGAGTACTCGTAGCGATCACGTCGGCCGTGCCACGTGTCTTGTTCTCATGCGACACGTTACAATTTTCACCGTGACCGTGAGGTGGCAGTAGATTCGATTGTACTACGTGTACAGTTGATTATATATTCTAACCACCGTAGTTCATTAATCGATCACGTATCAATGTACTGGAGCAGTGCTGGCCATCGACCCGGTGGTCGGGGCCATCGCCGCCGGCAACGCGGTGGTGCTGAAGCCGTCGGAGGTGGCGCCGGCCACGTCGTCGCTGCTCGCCGACCTGCTCCCGCGGTACGTGGACGCCTCCTGCGTCAGGGTCGTCCAGGGCGGCATCCCGGAGACCACCGCGCTCCTGGAGCTCAAGTGGGACAAGATCTTCTACACAGGTCCGTTGCGTTGGTCATCAATCAAGCCTGAATCATCGACCTCTTCTTCATTCTTCCATGGCTGAAACTGATTGTCATTCAATAAATCTGGTGTCGTTTTGATTGATGGGATGATAAAAATCTCAGGCAACAGCAAAGTGGGACGTATTGTCATGTCCTACGCTGCCAAGCATCTGACTCCCGTCGTCTTGGAACTCGGCGGGAAATGCCCCGTCGTTGTCGACTCCAACGTCAATCTCCACGTCCGTAAAAACCATCCCGGCCATTTCTTCCTCTCATTACTACTAACCTTTTTCTTTTTTGTAAAGAGAAAAGGGAAGCGTAAGTTAATTCATAGTAAATTATGAATACGCAAATGTTGAGTGAAGGTTGCTGCCAAGAGGATCGCTGCGGGCAAGTGGGGCTGCAACAGCGGCCAAGCCTGCATCTCTCCGGATTACATCGTCACCACCAAATCATTTGCACCAAAGCTGGTAACAACCACATTGTTTGTTTTTCTCTTCACGACAAATCAGCATCGACCTTTTTTCAGCCAGTCGAACGGGGCCAACAACAGCACTCCACTGATTCTGTTCGTGCTCTTGGCCTGTGTGATGAAACAACCTTGGGCATGCAGCTGGAGTCCCTGAAGAAAGTGCTGGGCAAGTTCTACGGCCAGGACCCGCTGCGGTCGCCGGATCTGTCGCGCATCGTCAACTCCAACCATTTCAACAGGCTGAGGGGGCTCATGGACGACGAGACGGTCGCCGGCAAGATCGCCTTCGGTGGCCAGAGCGACGAGCAGCAGCTGTGAGTGAATTTATCTTACAGCAAGCATTGTTTTGTTTCTAGCCAGAGTTTTACCTTACCTGACAAATTCAGAATCTCAGAGCTTCCATAATATTCCTTCTTCGTCATGTTGCAGAAGGATCGCCCCTACACTGCTGCTGGATGTCCCGCTTGATTCAGCGATCATGAAGGAGGAGATTTTTGGGCCCCTGCTTCCCATAATCACGGTACCGAAAACGAAAACATCATGTTGTTGGATCATCAGATATCTCTTTCCTGACTCTGCTCCATTAAACATTTGTTTGTATTGTAATCTTGAATCGCATTGTGTTGTTTACACTGCTGTTGTTGCTAGGTTGACAACATCGGTCAGAGCTTTGCCGTGATCAACTCCATGACCAAGCCACTGGCAGCTTACCTCTTCACCAACGACAGCCGGCTCAAACGACAATTCGAGAGGAACATCTCAGCGGGAGGGATGATATTCAACGACACCGGCATCCACGTACGCGACACTTACATTTGCATAAAAAACATAAAAACACACACACATCAGCTGCAAAAAAGTGTTCCTGAATTGGGCTGGCTTACTGCATCTGCTACCATACATACGTAGCTGATGACTGACTGACTGACTGACTGACTGCTTGCTTTCTGAACTGTTTGCGACGTTGCAGCTGACAAATCCACACCTGCCATTCGGAGGAGTCGGGGAGAGCGGCATGGGCGCGTACCACGGCGCCTTCAGCTTCGACGCCTTCACTCACAGGAAGGCCGTCCTGGACCGCAGCAGCTTCCTCGGCGAGGCCAGGGCCAGGTACCCGCCCTACACGCCGGCGAAGCTCAGCATCCTCAGGGGCGTGCTCAAGGGCAACCCGATGGCCATGGTTCAGGCTGCTGTTGGGTGTACAGGAGGAAGAAGGGCATGAACTGATTATTGATCCCTTCATCATACTGATTAAGCATACTCACCGCATGCATACACATTAGTGTGCTTTTTTTTTTTTGGTTTGCAAAACATATAATACATTTCAGTGCAAGTACGAAGGATTTGCGCATGTAAATTTATTTGGAGAAACGGTTTGATAAATAAATTGTCCCCGCGTAGTCCTCAAGGGCGACACGGGCGGCCACCGACGCAGCCAGCCTCCACCCCCTCCCACCCCTGTTCCCCACCTCACCGCCGCCGGAGCTACCCACCGGAGATCTGCGTGGCTGCTGCGAAGGCGGCGGCGGGGCTATTTCCCCAAGGATTCGGCCCCAAATCGAGCGGCAGCGGCATGGTTCGGCACGTGGTGCTGCGCCGTGCAGTGGATGTGGCTGCTACGGCGGCGTCGCGGCCGGATCCGGCGCCCTTGCGCCTGGATCTGGGCGGACTAAGGCCTGACGGTGGGCCAGGAACGGAGGTTCGGCGATGACGCCAGCTGCCGTCCAGGCAGCTCCTCCCGGCGCCCCTGCGGGTGGATCCGCATCTCCCTCGTGTCTCGACGGCTGAGTGAGGTGCTCCTGGCGGCAGGCCGTGCGGGGTGCTGCGGGCTGCGGTAGGCTGCTCGGCGGCGCGCCCACCGCTGGATCTGGCCGGGGAGCTGCCGACGCGGACGCGGCGCGCGGCAGAGGCGACGCTCAGCTGGAGATCGAGGGCAGCGCGGCGCGGCGGGAGGCCGTGGACGGCGCAACTGTGTTGACGGTGACGCGTGCGTCGCCGGCGGCGTCAGGCTGCAGGACGCCGTTCACGGCGTCGGCGGCCTAATGGTTGCAGGGGCCGGATCTGGTGGTGGCCCTGCCGGCCGGCAGGGCTGCTGGCGGCTCCGGGGTTCGAGGGCCGGATGTGCGGCACTCTGACATCGGCAAAGCTGCGCAGCAGGCGAGGAAGGTCCGTGTTGGTGGCCGTGCGAGGTTGCGGCGACTGCAACGGCCCATGGTGGTGTGTGAGGTCGGAGGTTTCACTGGCATCTGCGCGTGTGGGGACTGAAGGGTGGCAGTGATGGGGTGATGGCTTGGCGCAGCGGACGGACCGAGGCAATTGCCGTGCACCGGGTTGAGTAGCGAAGGCCTTATGACTGGGATGAAAACGGATCGGATACGGACGGATATCACCGATATTATATTTGTTTTCGTATTTCTGTCCGGATTCGGAATCGAATACGGATGGTGTCAACTATGTCGGATAGGATACGATTGGATATCGACATCATAAATATGCGATTTGAGTATTCGGATACGGATACGGTATCGGATGTTGGATATCCGGACTCGGATACGGACAGATCTCAACCCCTCTAAACAGATTCGGTTTCGAATACGATCGAAAAATATCCGTACCGTTTTCATCCCTGCTTATGACTATCGTTGCTGGTTCGTGGAGTGAGAGACAAATATTGTTGGCTGGTTTAGATGAATAGTATTTTTTGTGAGGGGACTGGCCAGCCCAGCTCTAGCCAGTCAGCCCAGCCCTCTTGGGCTGACGATGGCGACGCCCGAGGGCGTCGTTTTCTTCCTTGGAAGCATCCATCGAACGGCCCTCTTCCTTTCGTACGGTATGTCTTTGGTGGGTGAAAACCTTAACCTTTTGGATAGGCGACGGCGGCGCCATCGGCGTCGTGTTCCTCCGTGGAGGCGTCGTTTTGGAAGCTCGTCCTTGGTCAGTCTGCAACGGCAGCCAACGTTGTGGCGAGAAAGGTGGAGGCCTAGTTGAGGGTTTAAGTTTGCGGTGTCCATGGCGGAGGAAGGCGGTCAGAGGAGGGTGTTGTGCGCGGTGATTGGAGGGCCACGCATCTGCTCGGCAATGAGGGCGGCGGTCTGGTAGGACCATATGCCAGTTGTGACCACGAAGTTGGTGAGGAGGCTGGCATGGGAGGCGCCCACGGAGTTGGCGATGTGCCGACGTGGGAGGTGGTGGCTAGCAGATTTGCGTTGCCGAGGTGACCTGCGTGGTATGGCGGCGGGCGGTCCTGCACAGCGACGGTTGTTTCCGGTGTAAGGAGGTGTTCTGACTGGCAGCTGGAGGACGTGTGTGGCACTTCTACCTTCGATGAGGCAGCTAGGTCCTGGAAGCTACGGTGTGCGCGTTTGGATCTCAGAACACGGGATCGACTTGGTGAGCGTCAGAGGCAGCTACTCACACATTTGGTTTGGCAGCTTACAGCGGCCTACAGCGGCTAGCCCTGCTTGGCGGGGTGGCTAGTCCGGTATGGTACATCGTCTTGATAGACGGCGCAAGCGGATCCAATTGCGGGAGGGCTACACGGCTCGCAGCGACCTACAACGGCTTGTCCTGCTTGGCGGTAGGCTAGCCCGGTGTGTATCATCGTCGGTAACGATGGCGCGAGCGGTGACGACGGTGTTTTCGCCCTGACGTCCTTAGTCGTCTGGGTTTGGCGGCGCAGTGCGGTGGTGTCGTGTAGGTGGTGGTTTCTCTTTTTTTCTTCTTTTTCTGAGTTGAGCTTCAGCATTGTGCAGTTCGTGTCGATGTCCCAATCCAATCGACTAGAGTTGTATTTTTTCTCTTTTTGTTGAGTTTGTTTTTCGGCGCGGTTGTTGCTCGTTGTTGTATCGTTATGCTTACTTTAAGCTTATCTTTTTTTAATATAATCGGCAGCTCTCCTGCCTGATTCATTTTTAAAAAAATTGTTCAAGGTTGAAAAGACCAAATATGTATCAACCCCTTTGCGTAGCTATTCAAAGGAAAAAAGTGGCACTGGTTTTGTACAACGTAGGTCACTACCGCCCAAAGGGTAAAAAAAAAGTGACACTGATTTCGTAGAGAGTACTATAGGTCACTAAAGCCGAGGTTCAAGTATATCCAGGCTCGTATAGCATTTCAAATGCATCACACACTACGGGCATGTTAGGTAAACTTTAGTTACTTTTAGTGAATAAAATAGCAAACAACCCCACTAAAATTTAGGGACCACTAAAGTTTAATGACTTTTAGTTACAAAGAATACCTAAAAGTAACTTAAATATATATGGGACAGCTGCTTTAGTGATCTTTAATCACTATAACCAAACATAGGATCACTAAACTTTAGAGGAGTCACTAAACTTTAGGTACCACTGAAGGGGTGGAACCAAACATGTCCTACCGCAACCAACGCAAGTGGGGATGTACTCTACTCATGCCAGCAGCGTGTTGCTTCCTAGTGACGACCACGACACTACACTCAAAAACATTATGGTCTTTTCTGTTTGTTCAAGGAGAGACCTCCGTCTTTTATGAGGAGCATTCTTTCGCTTTGAATCTGTTCAGAGCATCTAGTATCTTATCCTGATGATTTTTTTAAAGCAAACATTATATGATTTGGAAGAATGTTTTCCAGGGGAGGAAATCAGGCGTCCAGCTCATAAAAGAATTACTTATGAAATTGAAAGAGTGAATGAAACGATTTTGCCATTCTGACAGAAGTCAAAGAAAATAAACCTGACCCATCTTTCCTTAGATACAGATAGCTTTAAGATCAAGATACTGAATTTATCAGAAAAAGTTCAAAAAAATAACACAACATTACAAGAACTGAAACATAAGAAAAGACAAATGATATTGTGCCAATATAACACAAGACTATTATTGTTTTTTGCTTAACATGGAAAAAGGCAAAGTCGTCATGAAACATAGAATAACTGATAGAAGTTTTTTCAGATAAACGACAACAAGATCATACCACATGCCACCAAATGCAAGTGGAGTCTTAAATTCTCATCTGAAAATAGTGGAATGTGGGCATACCAGTCATGAAATTTGGGCCCTATATGTCTATTTCATATGGGCTGTAGTTGGGCTAGACAACATGGATATTCGATTTATTTTGAGAATATGATGATAGCAGAAATAAACGCAACCTGCAACTACGACCTTGTTCGGCTAGTATCATACCCGGCTTGATCCGCTTCTTTTTTTCATCCGGAACAATGTTTTCCTCTTACAAAACCAGCCATGAACAGTAAAAACCAGCCGTAAACAGTGCCCTTTCCATACCAGCCGAACGAGGCCGTACATATCTCACGGATGCAAGATATTTAACATATAAAAGAAATATACTCTCTACTCCATATTATAAGTTGTTCTGACTTTTCTAAATATATGGTATGCATCTAGATATGAATATTATTCACTAAAAACTTGATCAAACTTGAACAACCTTATCTGGCACGTAACACATAGTTGCATATTTTCCTGGACAGAGGGAGTATAAGATAAATCAGAGAAAAACATATACCATCCGATTTTTGATGTTCTTCTAATGATCTAAATTTAAGGAAAATAAAAAGCAACAAAAAATAAATTTAAATAACTTTTTCCACGCATGTCATGTTGTAAACTAAACATTATTTTCCATATACAAAACAGCCAATACATGTCTACATCACAATCAAGTATATTGTCGTAGCCAATATAAGCTTGAAACTCTTCTCATGTTTCAACAAACACGTCATCAATAAAAGATATAAAAGGCATCAAGACCAACAAATTTCATAGAAAAACTACAATCAAAATCTATCATACTATGATAGTAATAATAAATTTGAGACAATTATATTAATTCATGTAATCTTTATTGTCAAATGATTTGTTCTCTTAAAATCTTTTAAATTTAAAAGTGAACTTAAAAAGAATATTAGTTTTGTTTACATATGTACTACTCAAATGAAGTTAAAAAAATACTCTATTTACATTCAAAGGGCTAAAAACCACCACGTTGATCCTATAAATCAATATGCAGCAGTCTCTAGAAAAAAATATAGTAAAAGATTATACCAAAAATATAAAGTGGTGCCATGGGTACCATGCTCTGGCATTATAGTGGTAGTTCCATAGTACGATCAAAAAAGTTTAAGTTGCCAATGGATGTAGTATGATAACGCGACCAATGACTGCTTCAGGTACAAGTGGCTCCAACGAACATGTGCATGATTGTGATAAATGGGACAATGCTTTAGGGTAAAAAATATGGATTTACATGAGAAGGAAAAAGATGGCGAAAAATGTAAATATATAAGAGGAACAATTAATAAAAAATTCACGGGAGACTTGAATAATAGTTTTTTCGGCAAATGCATCTCGCCGAGGGAAAACTGATGGACAACTTTTTTTGGTCTCACAAAATTGCACGGCAACGGGATAGGAATAAGTAAAGAAAATGAGACAAACCATATGTTCAAAAAAAATTGATAATAGGTAAATAGAGTTCATGCCAATGGACACATTAGACGTGAATGGGGAAAATAAAATTATAATTAATGAAAAAAACTAATTACAAAAAAAATATCAAGTAAAAAAATTGACAAAGGAAGCGTACCCACGCTATTTGCACGAGCAACCTTGCTAGTTCATGGAAACTTGAACATGCTTTCAAAACATGTATGGTGTGTTGCAAATTGCAATTGTGTACAGAAGAGATAATCAATAATAGCTAAATAGATTTTATGTTGATGGATCCATCAGACGTGAATGGAGAAAATAAAATTATAATTAATGAAAAAACAAAATTAATTACAAAAAAATATTATCAAGTAAAAAACAAAGGAAGCTAGGTAGGTACCTGTGCTATTTGCACGAGCAACCTTGCTAGTTCATGTAAACTTTAACATGCTTTCTAAATCATGTAGGGGTGTGTTGCAAATTGCAATTGTGTATTGTATATACGCAACATGTTTATTAATGGGGATCCTCTTGTTCTCTAACTTGTGTGTTGATCTTCGGCATGTCTGGAGACATCCCAACGAAAGAGAGAACCCGATTTAACTATGATAATAATTTGAGCAGTGCCTTTAGCTTATAGAGAAAGCAAACAAAAGCAAAGCAATGATGGCTCGATATAATCTCAGAGCAAGTATAATAGCGGGTTGTAAGCTGGCTAAATGCGGGGTGGAGGAGAGAGAGCAGAAATTAGTTGTAAGCTTATAGTCGGCTTAGGCATAAGAACAAAAAAAAATTTGTGAGATGGACAAGTGGGTCACACTACTACAAAAATGATTTATAGCAATACCTTCCTTTCTTTGTAGGGGCGGCTTTATATCCAGCCGTCCCTACAAATCGGATTTATAAAGGCGGCTCAATATTGAAGTAGATTTGTAGGGGCGGCTCAATATTGAAGTGCCTCTACAAATAGACGTCGAGTATTAAAAATTAAGCATTAAAATTCAAATTTTGTAAACGACCTCGGATGGAGAAACAACCAAAATGAAAGTTGTAGATCTCGAAAAGTTATGAAACTTTATAGTTGACAACTTTTTGATTTGAAATCATCTTGTCAAGTAAAACTATGTTTGAATTTTCAAAAATTTAAAATTTGAATTTTTTAAACGACATCGGATGGACAAACAGTAAAAATGAAAGTTGTAGATCTTGAAAAGTTATGAAACTTTATAGTTGATAACTTTCTCATTTGAAATCATCTTGTCATGAAAAACTACGTTTGAATTTTTTAAATTTGAAATTCAAATTTTATAAGTGATCTTAGATGGAGAAACTACCAAAATAAAATTTGTAGATCTCGAAAAGTTATAACACTTTGTAGTTGATAATTTTTTCATTTGAATTAGTTTAGGGCCTCAAATAATCAATTTATGCTCAGTTTTGTATAATATGTGGGGAACCAAAATGAAATGTAGACACGAGTGATCGTGAGGTGCAGTAGTAGAGGAGTTTACGCGCGAGCGAGAGGTCGCGGGTTCGAAACCCGACCGACGCAAAGTGTGAAAAAACGTGAAAAATGCTGCAACGGTAGAGTGAGGGTGTATGAGGCTGCCGGTGGGAACCTCCTCGGATTAAAAAAAATTGCTAATTTTTTGCCCCTTTTTCGTTTTTTTAAAATTGATTTGTAGGGGCGGCTCAATATCAAGTCAGCCCTACAAATCAACGATTTATAGCCACCTTTTTATAGGGGCGACTGATAAAACCACCTACACAAAAGCTTACCAGCCACCCCTAAAAAAGATTTTCTACGTAGTGTCATGTATCAATAGTAATGAGGTAACTATTATATGAGTAGGCTAAGAGAAGTCTCAAAGAAACCTTACAACAGTCGGATGTATTATTAGCCTGACTCTCATCGAAGCGATAACATTTGCAATTCAAGTTCCAAGGCAGGGCCATGTTTAGTTCCCCCAATTTCATGAATTTGACACTATGTAAACAGAAGATTCTCCGTCACATCAAACTTATGGTACATGCATAAAATACTAAATGTAGACGAAATAAAAAACTAATTGCACAGTTTGATTGTACTTTACGAGACGAATGTTTTGAGCCTAATTAATCAATGTTTGAATAATTATTATCAAATACAAACGAAATGCTACAGTACTCTACAGTATAGCTGGAAATCCAGCGGCGCCAAGTTTGGCCGGAACTAAACGCGTGGCTACTATGCTTCCTCTCAACACACTCCCAAGCTAGTCCCTTGCAACCTCTCAACCCATCACACCTAAACATAGCAATCTGCCAATCTCTCTCTCTCTCTCTCTCTCTCTGCTTGCGCGCGCGGACAACGCTGGAATGTTAGGCGCATCTCGTACCACCACCACCAACACGGCGTCGAGATGAGCGGTGGTGGCGACGGCAGCGACAAGGAGGCCTTCTTCCACTGCCTGGACCGTGTGCCTTCCGGCCTGCACCTCGACGCCGACTTCCCTTCCGATGACGACGACGACGACGACGAGGACGACGTCCGTGTCTCCTTCACCTCCGCCGCGGGCGATCAGAACTTCAAGAGCTTCCGCCGGTACCAGTCGCCCGTGCTGGTGGATGATGACGAGGAGGAGGAGGAGGAGGACGACGAGGACACGTCCAAGTACGACATGTGGATGTCCGACGAGCCCATGTCCATCCAGGAGCGCCGCCGCCGCCTGCACCAGGGGCTCGGGATGGCCAGCAGCCGGGACCTCGCGCTGCGCCGGCACAGCATGAAGAAACGCCCCGCCGATGTCCCGCGGACCATGTCCCGGAGCGTGTCGAGGCCAAAGCCACCACCGTCGCCGATCCCACCCATCGCCGCCTCGTCGGCCGCTGCCAACGTGCCGAGCACTACCGCAGCGTCGCAGGCGGTGGCGGCTGCTGCGCCGCGGCCGGCGAAGGAGGCCATTACGAGGCGGCGCTCGGACAGCAACCTTGTCGTCGTGCGAGACGGCGCGTCGGTCTCGGGGAAGCCACCGTCGCAGCAGCCCTTGCGACGCGTTCGTTCCTTACCGGCTCGGCACGACGCCGCCGCCCGCGTTAGCGGCACGACCATCGTCGGGAAAGCGCAAACCGTGGCTTCGCGCGACTTGCCTGTCGTGCCGCCGCCAGCAGCGGCAGCGCCAGCGGATAAAGGCAGCAAAGGCGACGGCGACGAGGGGAGCAGCAATAAGAATCGGGACAGCGAGAAGGAGCAGGTCGCCGTCGTGGCCGCCACCACGCCCAAGGACGTTTCGTCGAGCACCCAGTCGGGCGTGCTGGGGCTGGATGAGATCGAGAAGTTCATCGGCAACACCCCGATCATGAAGCTCATGCGGCGTGGCACGAGCCAGCACCAGCCCGCGCCGCTGCCTGCCGGCGTGCCACCCAAGGCCGACAAGGCCGCCGGCAGCAAGAAGAAGGGCGGCTGGCTCAAGAACATCAAGTCCGTGGCCATAGGGTTCATGCAGGACAAGGACACAAACGCCAAGTCGGGCGTCGCGTCGTCCACGGCGGCTGCCGTGCCCAAGTCGGTCTCCACCACCAACGCCTCCGCGGGGGCCGCGCCGCCGGCCTCGGCGTCCGAGCGGCTCAAGGTGCACCAGTACGGCAAGTCGAGCAAGGAGCTCACCGGGCTCTACATGTGCCAAGAGATCCAGGCGCACGAGGGGTCCATCTGGAGCATCAAGTTCAGCGCGGACGGGCGGCGGCTGGCCAGCGCCGGCGAGGACAGCGTGGTGCGCGTGTGGCTGGTGGTGGAGACCAGCGCCCCGCCGTGCTCGCTGGCGGCGATGGATGGAAAGTCGGGCCCGCTGGCCCCGCTGCCTGCCCCTGGCGCGGCCGACGGGTCGTCGGCGCTGGCCTCCACCATGTCCAAGAAGTCGACCAATAAGGGGAAGAGCGGCGGCAGGGACGCGCTCCCCGAGCACCTCGTCGTCCCGGACAAGGTGTTCGCGCTCGCCGAGCAGCCGGCGTGCGTCCTCGAGGGCCACCAGGACGACGTGCTGGACCTCACCTGGTCCAAGTCCGATCAGGTTGATCTTCCGTGCCCATAGCCACTGCTTTGCTTGCACAGTAACAGCAGACAGAGCCTCTGATGAGTGCTTGTTCTCGCCGCAGCTGCTATCGTCGTCGATGGACAAGACGGTGCGGCTGTGGGACACGGAGAGCAAGGCGTGCCTCAAGACGTTCGCGCACAGTGATTACGGTGAGCAAGGCGATTGATGGTTGCTTGCTTCTGCCAACCAGCTGATGATCTGACATGCCACATCCGATCCTTTTGCAGTGACTTGCATTCAGTTCAACCCAGTGGACGACCGGTACTTCATCAGCGGGTCGTTGGACGCCAAGGTGCGGCTGTGGAGCATCCCGGACCGGCAGGTCGTCGACTGGACGGACCTCAACGAGATGGTCACCGCGGTCTCCTACACCCCTGACGGCCAGGTCAGGCCCATCACCAGTTCACCACACACACTGTCTCATTCTCACCATTGATCGCTACCAATTTAGCTCGTCTTCATTTCTGAACATCTTTCAAAAAAAAAAAAAATCTTCATTTCTGAATCGTTACCATTGATACCATTCATGAACAAACATATATTGAAGGGAGCGATCATCGGCTCGCACAAAGGGAGCTGCCGGCTGTACAAGACAGCAGGTACTCCTTGCGTAACTGCATTGTCTTCATGATCAGTAGTTGCTGGTTTGGTTTAACAATCTGTGGCAGCGCTTGATTATTGTCTCACCATTGGAACAGGCTGCAAGCTTAGCGCAGAGGCGCAGATCGATATCCAGGCCAAGAAGCGCAAGGCGCAAGCGAAGAAGATCACCGGATTCCAGGTACACAAACACAATACTACACATACATAAAGCAGCAAGCATTTCAGTTCAAGTGCGTGACATGTTTATGATCTTGCTATGGTCGCCCTGGGTGCATGCAGTTTGCTCCGGGGAACCCTGCCGAGGTGCTGGTCACATCTGCCGACTCCCAGATCCGTGTCTTCGACGGCGTCACCATGGTCCAAAAATTCAGAGGTACGGCAGACACAAATTAAATAGGGATCAAAATCTCAAGCTCAGAGAACAATCGCAACAAAATCAATAGTTGCAGAACAAATAAAAGTGTTCTCGTGCAAGTGTAATTGCATGATCATCACATCAGTTCTTTCTTCCCCTCTCTTTTTCCCCCCCAAAGGTTTCAAGAACACGAGCAGCCAGATCACGGCGGCCTACACCTCGGACGGGCGGTACGCCGTGTGCGCGAGCGAGGACTCGAACGTCTACCTGTGGCGGACCGCCCGGGTGCCGCCGGCCGCGGCCATCGGCATCGGCATGAAGCCCAAGACGTGGTGCACCATCCGCTCCTACGAGAACTTCTACTGCAAGGACGTGTCCGCCGCGGTCCCCTGGACGCAGTCGCCGCCTCCGCCGGGCCCCGGCGACGGCAGCCCCACCGGCGGAAGCCCGGTGCAGGGCGCGTCCTGCAACGACGAGTCGTGCAGCGTCGCCACCAAGCCGGAGGGCAGCGACGCGAGCAACAGCGCCGGTGGCGGCGGCAAGGGCGACAGTGGCAACGCGTGGGGCCTGGTGGTGGTGACGGCGAGCCTGGGCGGGGAGATCAGGGTGTACCAGAACTTTGGGATGCCGTTCAGAATCAAAGGCCAGGGCAATCTCTTCTATTGATTTTGGGCACTCCAAGACTGCAATTCTTTGGGCTGTCGGTGACTTCTTTTCTCCTAACTGTATTTTTGTGTACATGTGCGATGCAATTGAGCATAGGACAGAGGTGCCATGATTTGGTGCGTTGTAGCTAATGAGATGGGATCTTTACTTGTACCAAAATTAGTCAAATCAAAGTAAAGAAAATATATATATATAAACTTGTAATACAAGAACTCAGAGGTTTATATATATTGAAACACAATAAAAGGAGAGAAATTTTACACATTAGCCAGGCATTCAAAGATTAAGCCAGCAATCTTAGAACAAGATGAAAGAATGAAAGAATATGTATTCTACACTAGTTCCAGATTTCCAGCACAACAAGACGCAAATTTTTTTAACCGCGACAGACTATTTTACCAAATCATCAAACACTACGCCGAATTCCACCAATTGAAACTCGTCGAAGCCCGGCGGCGGCGGCGGGTCGTCGTCGTACGGGGGATTGAACTCACCGTGCACCAGGAAGTCCGGCACGGCATCACTAAATGGCTCAAATTCCACCAAGTCCATGTAGATGCCAGGATCAAGCATCGGCTCTGCGCCTGCCTTCCCCGCGTCGTCGGCGAGCTCCGCCGGTGCAGGGGCCGACGCGTCGCACGGGGGTTCGGCTTCGGCCGACCCCGCCGTGGCCGTCACAGGGATCTCTTGCGGGGGCAGTGTAGGGGCCACGGGCTCTGCGCTGCATTGGTTGTCGTCGTGGATTTGGATCACGACGCCTTGTTCTTGGGACGGGGAAATATGGACCACGCAGCTCGACGGCCCGCTGTCCAAGCTCTGAGGCGGCCGCGGCGGCGAACCGTACGCCAGCCGCGGCTTCTTCTCCGTATGGGTCATCACCTTGCTTTGCTGGGGATCAACAAGACGGACGCTCGGCGAGGCTTCCTGGTTGTAACATGGATCAAGAACGTGCAGCAGCTGCGGCTGCACGGCGGTGCCGCAGTATTCATCTGGACCGCCCTGCACGGCGGCCTGGCCTTGTCGGTAACCAAGAAATCGCTGATGGGGCGCGGCGGCGGCGTGGCCATGGTGATGAGCAGGAACGCCCCACGGCAGCATGGCCCGGCCATGGTGATCTCCAAGAACGGCTGGCGTCGCAGCGGCCTGCCCGTGTTGGTGTCCAAGAAGAAGCAGCAGTGGCGGAGCCGCGGGCTGGCCTTGTTGATATCCAAGAAAGCGCGGCGATAGCGATGGCGTTGGCGGTTCACCTTGCTGATGTCCAAGAACGCGCCGCGCTGGCTGGGCTTGCTGAAATCCAAGAACGCGCGGCGGCGCTGGGCCCTGCCCTTGGGCGACCGCACCGAACAATTCCGGCGACACCACTACCCTGACCGGCTTCAATTTGCCGTTGCGGTCGAAGGCGACCATATCGTCCCCGAGGATCTGCCGCTTCTTCTCCTTGTCCTCCTTTTCCAGGCGCGGCGAGAGGTAGATCCTGCAGAACACCACGAAGGTCCCGTCGCCTCCGCTGTGTCCGTCCTCCAAGGCGGTGAACTCCTCCATGAGCCATGGAGTCTTCTCTCCCCTCTTCCTCCCATTTTTGCCGACGTAGAAGCCGAAGGAGCGCCTCCTACCCCCGTGGGGCTGCTCGTCCTCGTCCTCGCCGTCCTCACCGTCCGCGGTACCGACGACGCCCTTAGGCGTCTGCTCCGACTGCCAGCTTCCGCCCGTGGCGACTACGCGCTTCCCGCGGCCCGCCGCCGTCTTGCCGCGGCCGCCGCAGTGGCTGAGCATGAGCCACTTGTGGTCGAACTCCCGCGAGAAGCCCGGCTCGCGCCCCAGCAGCAGCGCGCCGGGGCTGTCGCTGTAGACGTCCACGTCGCAGATGACCCGGTCCGTCGGCGGCGGCACGCCCGCGGCCCACGGCTTGATGTAGTCGCGCACGCACTCCTCCGCCGTCGGGTTGAAGTAGACGCCCGGTGGAAGCGCCCGGAATGGCGCCGCCATCGCACTCGCCGGCTCCCGGCCCCCGGCCCCGCTGGGAGATGTTTCTACGTCTACGCGGTGTTGTAGACGGAGAGCAGAGCAATTTCGCCGGCGTGGAGTCGTAATCGTGGCGGAGTTGTTTCGCCGGAGCCAATGTGCTTTTGGCAGCTTATATGGTGGGCTGTGTCCGCGTTGAGGTCGGCCGGGCTCAGGCTCAGTTCACGTCCGCCTCGGTCTCAGGCACAAATCTGAGTCGGCTCCGGGTCCGTCTGCTACCCAAAAACCAGACTTCCCAAATTTTTTTATTTTTGTTAATCCTTTTTTGAAAGATTTTTTTTAATTCTAATCCGCTTGCTTTTTTTTTTGAAACTAACCCATTTCGCCGCGCCAATCTTTCTGGCGCCGCAAATACGTGTTGATCACTTCCTTAGGCATAAAGACTTCTCTTGAGCTGACCCTCACCGTAAATGTTGACCTTTCCTCGTACTAATGGAGCTCAATTGACCATAATACAATCAGTTAAATACAGAAGGCCGTGGATTATGACCAGCAGGTCTCTCCACATTTGTTGATGCATAGGTGCGGCCAGAGGATACGATGCCCAAACTCCATACGGCTCCCACATTGGTTGTACGAGAGGTTGAACCGGAGGACCCATATGAGACACTAGTGAAGCAACTTTTTGTTTCAATCGAGCCACTACGTGTGACACCACAATCTGCTTAGATGGCTCTTCTTGCTTAGGAGGTGTAGGCTCTCTTTTTTTAATGGCTGATTCATATATAGAATCAGTCTTCTCTTTCTTATACTGCTCATGAGCCTATCAAAGGTGGATTGATACTTCACCACCCTCCCTGCATTCTTAGCCTCATTAGACTTCCATGCGCTAGTCTCAAGTCGACGGCACAAAAGTACGCAAAATATACACGCCGGGCTTGTTAGAGTTGCCAGAACTGGCCTGGCCGACTTGTTTGTAGGAATAGGGCCAGAACCGGCCTGGCCGGCCTCCGATGGGCAGCCCTCGCCTCGTTGTGTTGTTGCTTGTTTGATTCTTTGCTGACCCAGCTGTGATCTTGAGTTTGTTGTTGCCATCCCCATCTTTCTCAAGCACAACTTTGCGACCTAAAATCTTCTTAACTTTCGGTGTTTCTCGAAGCTTGCTGATAATCATGTCCTTACTAGCGGTAGTATCATCTTGTTCTAGGAAGATTAGGGTAGCGGGCTCTCCCTTTTCAAGTATACCGATTGGGAAGCAAATCTTGTCAATCTGCATCTCAATAAGACTCAATCGTTCCTTGTTGAGGTCGATTGAACCTATCGAAGGAAAACATTGTAACTCATTAGTCAAATGAGAAAAAAGAGCCATGCCCTTTGCAATAAGACCTCCTTTTCAATTCTTCAGATGATGGCAAAGCATGTGACAATTTAATGTAACCATGTCGGGTTCATAAACCCGGGGTCCCCAATGAACCCGCTTCCCTACAAAACTCGGCCCAGCAAGCGGCGCAACGACAGCACACGCCTGGGCCGGCCCAGATACACAATAACAGGCCAAGACCACGATCCGGCCTCTGACCGACACCTCTGACCCGGGCCTCTCCGAACGGGCCACGACCCCTCACAGGAAAGAGGGATACGGAGCTAAAAACACACCTACGACCCGTCTAGGCCCAGGAGTTCGAAGGTTGGCCCACCGATGGGTTCGACAACCGCTCCGGGCACCTTTAGAGTGAGGGGTAGAAAGGGCCGACCTCTGGGTCGGGGGCTCCGCCTCGCCTGACCTCTAGGTCGGGGGATCCGCCTCGCTCGACCTCTAGGTCGCGGGCTCCGCCTCGCCCGACCTCTGGGTCACGGGCTCCGCCTCGCCGCCCCTATCTCCGACCGAGGATACGCCGAACCTCTGCTCGCTGTTCTTTCCCGACTGACATGATTGGGGCCAACTGGGAGCAACTGACCGGGGACGCCCGCTCGGTGTGGGCCCAGGGCATAGGCAGAGCAGATAAGATAAGGCGCTCAAGTCAACTGTAATACCGAGGACCGTACCTTGCCATACCCTACGCACCTGCAGGACGGTGCCACCAGGCTATGACAGACGGACACTCTACAACCTTCCAGACGTGTCAGAGCATAAACAGTGTTGTGGGCGCCGTCGTTTGCCGTACCAGGCGAACACGGTAGAGCCTACCAGACGCGTCTTGGCATAAACAGTATTGTGGCCGCTGGCAGCCATCTTGTACCCCGACAGCGTGGGCAATAAGACTATGTAGCACACGTACACACTCTCTCTCTTTCTCTCTGACTTGTAAGGCCATCCCCTTCACCTATAAAAGGGGATGCGCTCTCTCCGAACAGAAGGACGCTAGACGATTCGAGGACTCAACGACCTGAGGACTCGAATAGCTCATAACTCTAGAACTTGACAGCTACACAAAGCATATGCTCTAATACTTAGAGCACGTTAGAGCACCCGTCACTCTCTCTCATTCGGTTCAGAATCCGACCAGGCCTTTAACACCCCCCTTTTTTTATTCCAACTCGTTTGTAACCCCATAGCAAACTTCGAGCACCTAAGCTCAGGAATAAAATCACTGACCGACTGAAACAGGACGTAAGGCACGTTGCCTGAACCAGTATAAATCCTATGTCATTGAGTGCTAGGCCACATCCGATCACAATGCATGGCAAAACTACAAATATTTACTTGTTGGTCAAATTTCGCACCGACAGTTGGCGCCGTCCGTGGGGAGGACGTCGTGCGTTCACGCCTTTGGTCATCGGATGGCCCACCTTTCCACCATATTCAGCATGGCGGGCTCGAGCGATATGATTCGCTTCGGCTCGCTAGAGTTTCCCATGCTCCCACTTGATGGGATGTGGGCTCCTCCTGTCTTCGTGCCACTCCAGACCTTCCTCTTCGGGAGTCTGGACTTTGTCGTCGACCAGCTCAGCGAACTCCGCCTCTGTGAGGAGGCGCTCATCCCGGCGTCCACTGGAGGAGGAGCGCCCTCCACCGGCCCTGGGCCACTCGATGACCTCAACGTCGAGACACTCGCGCTTCGCCTCGAGCCCATGCTGGGATCAAACCCTACGGTGAGTGATGTACATATTGTTCTTTACTCACTATTTAACACCTTCTGCCAACTCTCCGGAGGGACCCGTTGTCCCTACTGCGACCACCATGCGACCGGTTCCCCTACAGCTTCGTGTCCCCCGTGGACCGTGCTCACGGGGGCTCCGAAGATCCTGACGTCGCCCCCTTTTATGTCCGAGTTCATGGGGATGGCGGGCTACGCTCCTGCCTTCTTCCATGACCTCATCGATGACGAGGTCGAAAGCGACGGCTCCAGCATCAGAGACGTCGTGGCACCTGGCCACCCTCTATCCCGGGAGTACGCTGTGGCGGACGCCCCAGGACAGCCACCGGTGGTAGTGGAGTATTCGTAGACTCACACCCCTCTGGACCCCTGTGTGAAGGCCCTGGCGCGTGCGTAGGAGCACGACGAGGAGTTACGACAAAGGCGGCAGAGCCAGCCGCCACCTGCGCTGGCGCGCTCAGCGCAGCACGCTGCGCCACATGCGCGTAACCTGACGAGCGGCGCTCGGGGTCATGCCCGTCAGGTCTAGCGTAACATCCTAGACAGAGGGAACGACCCCCCTCAGTTTGCTCGGGCTGGCCAGATCATCGCTGCTGCATCGATGCTTCTGCGCAGCCTCCGCGAGCCTGCTGACCCCCAGGAACAGGCAATCCACTGCAACCTCCGGGCGCTGGTGGAGACCGCCGCCGTTCAGCAAGCGGAGAGCTCCACGTCATGACACCGGTTCGTGGCCTCTAGCCCAATCAGGGGACTAGGGCTGCACCAGTCGAATCGCTCCATCCACTCACCACAACAGTTGCCGGGCGTGGAGGAGGAAGCCGTGGCTGCACCACAGCCTAGCCCGGCGCCCGCTCCACACCAACCACCTGTGCACGAACGGCTCGGGCTGAACCGTGATGCTCGCCGCGTCATCAACAATCGACACCACGCCCGACATGATGATGACGTCCATCGAGTGGTGGCGGGAGTAGGCGGCGTGGGCCCCGGCCTGACCATCGAGGAGCACGGGGACACGCACCCCAGGCATTTTGGCAGACCAAACGACCGGAGCCCCAGCTTGGATGGCCCAGGACCACGGGTCTTTGGTCGTCGCATCCAGAAAGCACCGTTCCCACATCACTTCCGACTGCCCACCAACATCGCTAGATACATCGAGGAGACGAACCCCGGTATATGACTCAAAGACTTCTGGCTCGCCTACCGAGCCAAAGGAGTGGATGATGATTACTTCATCATCTAGTACCTCCCCATTTGCATGGGGTAGCATGTTCGAGCATGGCTCAAATTCCTTCCGCCCGACAGCATCCGCGACTGGGTGGATCTCAAGAGGGTCTTCGTCGGAAATTTCTAGGGAATGTATGTCCGTCCTAGGAATTCCTGGGACCTCAAGAGTTGCTAGCAGGAGCCCAATGGGTCCCTATAGGATTACATCCGTAGGTTCTCAAAGCAGTGCAACTCCCTGATGTCGTCGACGCGGACATCATCAGCGCTTTCCTCTCTAGGACAACCTACAAGCCCTTGATCCACAAGCTTGGCTGTGTGAAGCCCCGTACCACCCGTGACCTGCTTGACATCACCACGAACCACGCCTCCGGTGAGGAGGCAGTCGGGGTGGTCTTCAGCAGCGGTCGAGATAGGGGCAAGGCCAAGCGCGAGGACCAAGGCGAGGGCCCCTCCACACAAAAGGGCAAGAAGAACAAGAAGGATCGGCGTCGATCAGCCAACCTAGCTTTGGTCGCCACAGCCGACCACGCGGGCAAGCAACCCTAGCAGGGCCAGCCCGACCACTTTGACAAGCTCATGGAGAGTCCATGCACCAACCACTCCTATCCCGTCAAACATCTCTACAAGGACTGCGAGCTCCTCAAGCACTTCCTATGGCAAACCACCAAGCCAAAGGAAGGGAAAGGCAAGGAGGAGGCGGCC